ATGTTGTACACTTTTATATTATTTTGTAGAATATAATATTTTTTAATGAAAGCATACATATTTTTTTAAAAAAGTTTGATGGTTTGATGGCTAGACCTACAAAAAATAAGATCTAATGCATGACTTTAAGGAAGGCAAAAATAAAAAATAAAAAATGCATAGATTATTTATATCTATGGTTTATACAAGCTTAGCTTTTAAAAACTATCATAGTTTTATTTATATTTTCTAAATATTAAATATTTTAATATAAATAAATATAGTCGCATAGACCGTTGAGGCCTACTAATTTCACGAGGGCATGCATGTAATAATATTTTTCTTCCTAACCTTTTCTCCCGCTGTCTGTTGTGATTTGGTCAGGTGAATAAAAGAAAAAACACCATTTTTATGTGAAGTAAATAAATAAATAAAAATTACCGTGATGTGTTTGATTAGAGTACAAAATTTTATTGTGGGATATAGTTTAATCTGTAGATAGATTTAGTCAGTGTAATAAAAATGGTTACTTATACAATATTGTGCTTTTGGCCTAAACGGCTAAACGTACGTTTGAAATTTCGATTATTATTGGAAATCCGGATTGCTGAGTGTAAATATCTCATAATCGAATCAACACTTGTGCGAATGACGATTGATTTGCATTTTCATAGTACATATTATTGTGTATTGACAAATTATTATGTGAGGCGGCTTAGTCTATAAATGAATCCCTCATATTTTTTTCCTACAAAAATACATACTTATATGATAAGATATTGTAAAAATATTTTTTATGAATGTAATTATTTAACATATAACATTACAATTAAAAATGTGTAGCTTATTTAGGCATTTTTTCAAATAACTAATTGGAAATTTTATTCAGTTGATTTATCAATCAACTAATATTACTGAAACGCTTTTATCATATCGGCTAATTTTTTAGTCAAAAGATATAAACAATCAGCTATCAGCTCGTATTTTTCTTATAAACTATCAACTATAAACTTGAAATTACATTACTTTTTATTTTTATGATCAATTTAGAAATTCTTTACGTATGGTTTAAAAATAATTTATGATTGATTTTATTTTGGATGTCGTATTTTTTGTAAATTTTTTTCTAGAAAAAATTAGCAAAATATTAAAATAGGCAAAAAATATATAATATATATTTGTATGGGATACATACTTTGGAGCATTAATGAGTATTTTAAATAAAAAAATGCTCATTTTTTTAAATGAGCAATTATTTATTTATTTATTTATTTTATTTTATTTTTTAGTTCAAATACGCAAACCTCAACGCCTTTCATAGTTTATTATCACAGTCGCACGCACTTTCACATTCCTGAGTCTAAAAAATACTGCACCATCTGCCCATCATTTTTCTCAAACATGGCTCTCCACTCTCCAGTTGACCCAACAATTAAATCTTGCTAATTGTTTACAAGTTTCCTTATAAAAAATTCAATCTCAACTTAATTTTAATTAATTACCGATCACCTTCAATCATTTATCTCATATTTTTATATCAAATCAATTTTAATATTTTTATTTAAAATATTATTTTAATACAAATATAAAGCTAACCATACCAACCTTTTAAAAAAAAAAAGAACTTTGGTTAAAATATTGCACAACCTAAGTAATTTTGATAGTTTTATAATTATATTTACACTATTTTTAATCTTATAGTTGTGCATAAAACAATAATAATTTATATGTATTACTCGATCGTATAATTTTTCCACATTGAATATAATGGACGAGTTAATGTGGTCGACCTGATTTTAACTGGGTACTCTATTAGACTACCCGAATAATCGATTGAGACTCATTCCT